TAAATGTTCCCAAAAACAAATTGTTGGATTTGATTAGTTTTAGAATGTACATTGCAGAAGCCCTTATACATGCAGGTATACCAATAAAAAAAAAGGTAGGACGTCCATCAAGCAATAATGAATCTTGTACACCACCAATCACCAAAAAATTGAAGATGGAGCAAAGGCCATTAAGAGAAGTTCGTTTTGACGGCGTGGATCATTTGCCCATATTTGACCAGAGCAAGCAAGGTGCAAGGTGTAAAAATGGAACCTGTCTGAAAAAGACACACATTAGTTGTAGTAAATGCAAAATTCATTTATGTATTGTCCGTGAACGTAATTGTTTTGTTGATTTTCATTCTAAATAAATAATATGTTTTTTACTATTTTTTGGTGTTTTTTTGTACATGCACAACTCTTGAGTCACCATGGTCGTTTTAACGAACATTAATTTTTTTCAAAAAAAACTAGTTCTATGGGCAAAATTTTTTGTTTATAAATCTTTAAAAAAATCATATATCTCAACCTCCAAGTTTAAAATTTTTATCTTTACAAACAAAAACTCATGACTGAAAGGGTTAATATAATGGGTTAAATATTTCCCACCTAAATAATTGTTTTTTATATTAAATTGGGTAAACAACAGCTGGGTTATTTTTCTTGTAATATTTTAACCTCGGAAACCTTTTTTGGGTGGAGCTAGAAACGTTACCAACGAATAGGCTGCGGACGGCAGCCCGATGGTTGGTGGAGAGCGAGACGTGGGTTGGAAACTAGCTTTTGGAACCAAAGATGAGTCCAATTGACGAAATAAGTAAAGATAGAACAGGATAAGATATATTAGAAAAGAAACAGAAATAAATAAAAAGATAAATGGGTTAAATTACCAAAGATAATATAGAAAAAGGGCGCCATTTATATTTTTGGTGTTTAAGAAGTAAATTAAGAAACCTTAAAAACGAAAAAGGGGTAAGGAAACATGTTTAGGTCCTGAGACCAAATCCAAGGAAAGATATAATAGTTAATTATTAAATAAATTTGGTCCACACTCTTCATAAACAAATAATAAATATACCTACTAATATATATGATACTAATAAATATATACTTACCTACGACACTTTAAATCAGCCTGATCTTTCTCCTGGTCGAATGTATAATAATAATTAAAGATAAAAAGTAAATATTCAGAGTTATTATTTTATCAGAAAACTTGTTAGAAGTCGACAAATAAAATTCATGCATAAAACAAAAACAATGATATGGACGGCTGAATGTACACACAAGGAATAAAAAAATACCATCAATTATTAAACGGTGGTATACATATAAAAATAAACAGAATTATGATTGAGAAATAACTTAACAAATACAATATATTAAAATCATGCACAGTTTAAAGTATCAACAAAGAGAGTTTACAGTAAATAAAAAAAAGAGGAATAACAAATAACACAAAGTAAATTAAAGTTAAATTCAAAGAATACAAAAAGATTACAGGAATAAAAATTAAACCAACCCGAACTGGTTAAGTTAATTATATGTTCGCACTGTTGTTTAATGATTACTGTTCTGACTGAGACTTCAATGTTCGTTATAATTATTTATTATGTTCTCGGACGCGACTAGTTCACGTTCGAGACGCATCGCCCCGCCCCTTATTTTTCCCGTTGGTCCCTCCCTGACCTGGAAATCCCTAATCGCTACTTCAGAAAGTACAAGAATAAGCGATTTTCAGGTCAATCAAGGCAGTCCTTCACGGGCTCTCCGAGAGCTTAGTGCTCTCGGGGCTCTGCTTCCTTTTTAGCTTTCCATATTCTGTGGCTGAGATGTTATTCTACTGCAACCTGGTATTTTTATTTCGACTTAACCTATGTCATGTAAAAAATATCTTGCCTTTTTCAAGGCAAGATACCAGAAGAAAACATTTACGAGTCCATACCCTGAAAATGGACTTAAGTAGAGGAGCTATCGTTGATGTTTTCGAAGCCGTCTACAGAGCACCCGGAGGCATTAGAAGGCGTTTAGACCCCTATTTGGTCCCCCGCGGTGACAATTAGAAGTTCCTGATAGCTGAAATAGATAGATATAAAAAGATTAAATGTTCTTTAAATTAAAGGCAAAATCAGTAGTTAACCTCTACTACAGGTGAAGAAATAATCGAATGCAGATTCGCCCAGATAGTTGAAGATAATATGATTACCATATTATTTTCCCAGATAATCGAAGGTAATTGATTTCGATAACTTACAGTAATTCTCGATGACTGCTTCACTATTTCACTGTACTCTACTATACTTTACTTGTATCAAACACTGAAGTTAATTTAAAATAAAGGTAGGTATTTTATAACCATAATATGGTATTATATTAAGAAACTCAAACTGTATTAGTGTATACACACTTAAAAAAAATTCACAGAGAACAGAGGCGGTAAGATATAACAAGCGTCCTTACGCAATGACTACCCTGCCAGAAGTAATATTTCCTCTCTAAAAATTTCACAAGCCTCCCAAAAAAGGGTGGGGTAACTTCTACTTAAAAATGGCAGGCCAGACTGTATGTATTTCTAAAAAGGTAAGGTTCTAACGACATCGAAAATACCGGTACCCTTCTAGCTAGGAACGAGATGAAATATAAATCCTTTTGGATTAGGTTTTTACAGAAAAATACCATAAAATGCTTTCGACTTTTCGACTTTCGATTTTGTTTTGCCAAAGTATCAAACAGAAACCCGCCTGAAACCGACAAAAATTAACCGAGGATTACTTAAACCGTCGTCTTTAAATAAGTAAATTCGTCCGTAATCGGTAGATTACCTCAAATAGAAAGGGATTAAAAATAATTTCATATTTTAATTATAAAAAAAATGTTACAATATCATTTCACTATTCAAGACAACATATCTACAAACATATAATAAAACTCACTTGCAACTTAAAGGGTTAAGATTTGTCTGAAAATCAATTTGAATTTATGCAAGTAATGCGTAGCAGTTTTCTGTAACATCGCATTTTGAGAGCTTATAGTTTTTTAAACAGCTCTTACTTTTTGCGCAAGCATCTTTCCTTACTTTTTGCAGATAATAAATTTACAAAATCACTATCTTGTAGGGGCAAAATTACGGCAGAAAATAGCGACAGTAGCAAAAGGGAAAAACATTCAAATCAAAAAATGGAACGTCGAAGGATTCAAAAGCGCAACAAAGAGACAAGATTACAGAAATGCTCTCCAAATAAAACTCCGAACTAGAGAGGAAGATACTGCAGAGGAGGAATGGAGACAATTAAAAACAATTATAACGGAGTCAATAGAGGAAACTGTCGGAAAAGCCAAAAGGCAAAGAAATGCGGAATGGTATGATAATGAATGCAGAACTGCAGTAGAGGAAAAAAGGCAAACTAGGCTTAACCAACTTCAAAGAAACACAAGAAATAGCAGTGAGATTTATAACGAAAAAAGAATAAAAGCGACTAGAATATTCAGAAGAAAGAAAAGAGAGGCTATGAAAAAACAAGTACAAGAAATCGTAAAGCATAACAACAGACGCGAAAGCAGAAAATTCTATAAATGCATAAAAGAAAGCACACAGTCATTTAGACCAAAACTAACGATATGCAAAGACAAGGACGGAGAACTACTAACAGAGAAGCAAAAAATTATAATGAGATGGAAACAATATTTCGAAGAAAATCTAAATGCGGACAACGAAAATAATCAAAACGAGATAATATATTATACGGCGGAGCTGCACATCGAAAATCCGAGTTATGAAGAAGTAGTTCAGATAATAAATAAACTAAAAATCAATAAAGCACCAGGAACGGATGGAATTTCGGCAAAATTATTAAAGCATGGAGGATACGAACTCTGGGAAAAAGCTTATGAATACGACAAAGACCTATATAATATGTATATAGACTTTAAACAAGCTTTTGATAGTGAGAAAAGAGACAGAATGCTGGAAGATCTTTGTAATCTAGGAATACCTAAGAAATACATCAGCCTCATAAAAATGACGTTGCAGGGTTCAAAAGCCGCAGTCAGAGTCGATGGAGAACTGACTCCCCTGTTTAACATTAACATGGGAGTAAGACAGGGAGATGCCCTATCAACCATACTATTCAACCTAGTTCTTGAGGCAGTCATCAGGAAAACCAATATAACCGGCCATATAAACACCAAATCAGTAAAAATTACTGCATATGCAGACGATGTAGCCATCACTAGTAGGAATAAGCCACGACTAATGAAAGTGTTCAAACAAATTGATCCTGAAGCAAGAAAAAAAGGTCTCAAAATAAACGAAGCAAAAACGAAGTATATGACAGTCTAAAGAATAACTGGCAATGAAAATAATATCACAATAGACAACTATACTATCGAACGAGTGGATGCCTTTACATATCTTGGCACAGAAATCAATCAGAAGACCTCCATAAGTAGCGAAATTAATGCACGTATTTCCAGCGGGAATCGTACATACTATGCTAATAAAAGATTGATGACATCGAAACTATTAGACAAAAGAACCAAAATGACTATCTACAGAACACTGATTAGACCCGTAGTAACCTATGGATGTGAAACTTGGGTAATGACGAAAAAAGATGAAGCCCAACTCAGGACATTCGAGAGAAAAATACTGAGGAAAGTATATGGCCCGGTACAAGAGGAAGATGGCACATGGAGAATCAGGAGAAACGACGAGGTTAATGAGTTAAATGAAGGTTATGACATTGTAAGATTTGTGAAAAGTCAAAGACTGTCATGGCTGAGACAAAACGATGCAAAAACAACAAAGAAAATGTTACAATGGAAGCCCATAGCCAGGCGAAAAAAAGGAAGGCCCAGAACGAGATGGTTGGATGACGTGGAAGACGACCTGAAAACAATGAACATAAGACAATGGAGAAGAAGGACACAAAAGAGATCTGAATGGAAGGACATAGCCAGACAAGCAAAGACCCATCCAGGGTTATGATGCCAAAAGAAGAAGAATAAATTTACAAATTCATTTAATAGTTTAATTATGTGTAGTTCCTTAAACAGTGATTAATAATATAAAAAAATAACAATACTCAAACGTTCAATAACTCCGTATCTGGACTATTCTCTACCACATCTTGAGTTACAGGAGACGGCACTGCTCCGTATTCTTCTTCTTCTTCACCCTTGTAACCAACTTCTTCGTACTTTTGAAGGTAATCGATTATATCGATAAGTGAATCTTCTTCTTCCTTAACGTGAATTGGAGTAGGTTCGGGGGGCAGTAGTTCAGATTTATATTCTAAAAAGATTTTAGATCAAACACTGTTAACTTGTTCTATTGTTTTTATCGTTAATATACCTACAGTATAGTTGACAGTGTTATGTATATTGCTTAAAACATAATAAGATAAGAATAGCTGTAAAACAAAAAAAATAATAATAAATAACAAGAAGACAATCAAATTACAACAAAAGTGTTTAAAAATGATGGCTTCTTTTTAAAGTGTCTTCATTTCTGAAGGTAGGCGATAATTCTAACAAATGAGATTCGTCAACTATCTGACGTTTTTAACAACTAACATCTTCTTCAGCACCAACCTCAAGAGCTCGAGGTTGTTCATGTTCAAAAATCGAGACGTGGCATCATGGCATCAAGTGAAAGAGTTGTTTTTAATTGAGATCAGATTTCCACCTTCAGGATAATAATCTTTGGCAATCTGTAGTTATCTACAAGACAAGGTATGTATTTACATTTATTGACGCCTTCTATGTGGATGTTCATCATTATCATCATTCTGGCTTTAAAACCCTGGTGGAGGAGGTTTAAAGGTAGATTGTTACAGCAGAGACATTTTGGAGGAACATCTGGTTTCAAACGCCGGATTTATTGATGATACCTTAATTTCTAATACACGATGCCATAGCGCACGAGTCACCACCACCTGTCTGACTAAGATCGGTGTCTTCTTACGGTACCTTATCCTTAAGGACGTTGGCCATTACATTTGCCCATTTAATCTTATTTGTAGCAGCCCTGAATAGTACTATGGAGGTCATGTTCGTCCATTGCCGTAGGTTTTTAAGCCAGGAGTTGCGTCTTCTTCCTGGTCCTCTTTTGCTATTGACTTTGCCTTCGATTATAAGTTGGAGCAGTTCATACTTCTGATTTCTTATGATGTGACCAAAATATTGTGTTTTCCGTTCTTTTATTATAAGTATAAGCTCTCTTTTCTTATTCATCCTCTGCAAGACTTCCGCATTTGTCGTATGGCTCATGTAGGATATTCTGAGCATTTTACGGTAACACCAGAGTTCGAATGCTTGGATTCTTTTTTGTGTTGCTTCTGTCATTGTCCAGGCTTCAACACCATAGAGCAAGGTGGAGAAAACATAGCACTTAAGTATTCTAGTTCTCAATGAGACGCCCAGCTGGCGGTTGCATAGAACTTTTTGCATTTTGTAAAACATTGTACGTGCCTTTTCCAGGTGTATTCTTATCTCTAGTGAGTGGTCCCAAGTTTCATCAAGATTACTTCCAAGGTACGTTGTTCTTGTTACTCTTTCCAGATCTGTTCCGTCGACATTGACCTTCACCCTTCTGTTTTGGTGCTTGCTGATGACCATCGTTTTTGTCTTCTTTGTATTCAATTTCATGCCAAATTCTCTACAGGCTGTCGTTACTCGGTCCATTAAGCGTTGCAGGGCTTCAGCATTATCTGCCAGTATGACAGTGTCATCAGCATATCGCAGGTTATTTATACATTGCCCGTTTATAATTATACCATCCGAGGTGCCTTCCAAAGCTTTCTGAAATATCTTCTCAGAGTAAACATTGAACAGCAAAGGTGATAGGACACATCCCTGTCTTACTCCCTTCTCGAAATTGATTTTTCCAAATGTTTCGCTTTTTATTCTGATTTTAGCCTTTTGTTCTTGGTAGAGGTTTGAAATGATCCTTAAGTCTTTATCGTCGATATTACATGACCTTAAAATATCTATTAGTTTATCATGTTTCACCAGGTCAAAACGCCTTCTGAAAGTCTATAAAACACAAGTATACATTAGAATCGACATCTCTACATCTTTCAACTAGCACACGTATTGAAAAAAGTGCTTCTCTTGTTCCGAACCCATTCTTAAAACCAAACTGAGTTTGACCAGTGTGTTCGTCTAGTTTATTGTATACTCTATTGTGTATTACTCGTAGGAAAAGCTTCAACATATGATTCATCCGGCTAATAATCCTATGGTCTTCACATTTCTTGGAGTTTCTCTGCTTTGGTAGTGGTATAAACACCGATGTCAGCCAATCATTTAGTATTATGCCTGTTTCGTATATTTTGTTAAATATATCTTCCATTACTTCGATGTGTTCGTCTATTAATATCTTTATTATTTCAATTGTGATATTATCTTCCCCAACAGCTTTTCCGTTCTTTAACTGATTTGCTGCTTTGATAATTTCTTGCTTTGTGGTATAAGGTCCAGTCGATGCCTCCTGCATGTAAATATTCGTCCTCTCTCGGTCTTGAAACATCTCTTCCACGTATTCTCTCCATCTACCTATTTGATCTTCTATGTTCAGTAGCGGGTTCCCATGTTCTTCCGGTAGGTATACCGATCTTCCCAAGATCGGTATACCTAACATTAATTGGCCTTCGTTAAGCTCGGAGAAAAATAAATAGAGAATGTTTGGAATGAGCTTAAACGAAAGGTCCGTGACAGAAATTATGCACCAAGGAGCGTAATGGAATTGAAAGCTGTGCTTAATGATGAATAGAAGCAATGCCTCAAGAATTTATTAGAAAAGTCATTCAATCTCTACGAAATCGATTGGACAGTGTGATTAGGGGTAGGGGTTAAAGGTAGGGTTAAAATATCAGATACTGAAAAATAAAGAAGTTTATTGTGTAATTGATAATTTTTCGGTTCATAACGTCTTTGTGGCGTTAGTTTTAATGATAAATATTTAGGAAACCCTATTCGTATCGCATACTGTTTTTATAACGCGTCTTCCAAATAATGCAATAGAAGTTTTTGTAAGATAAATAAACGCAAGCTGGAGTACTTCGGCCACATTATGAGACACCCTGAAAAATATGAGTAATCGTGGTCCTGGTAGACGAAGAACATTATGGCTGAAAAATCTAAGGCAATGGTATGGAAAATCAACTATATCGTTATTTAGAGCTGCTGTCAATAAAGTCACGATAGCGAATATGGTAGCCAACATGATATCCAACCATCGATAACGGTCATGGAACTAGAAGAAGAAGAAAATATAGCTCAATTATATTAGAGAAGATAAAATAGCAAAGCCAGTAAAGTATAAAGGCATTATATTTTTACCTGTTACAGTTCTTGCACGCCAGATTGGAACGATTCCTTTTGGATTTCCGCGATATTCATTATCGTCTTCATTATTGGATAGCTGTAGTTCCTCGGATCCTACATAATCAAATTTGGGGTCACGAACGTTGACGTAGAAACCATGCTGCATATATTTGGCATCAAAAGTAAAGCAACCTGGACCTTTAGGAAGATTTTTTTCAAAGGAGCCATGAAATCTGTAATAGTTATTAATTTTAACTGATTTAAAATTTATAGATATAGTCAGTTCTTCTGCGGGGAAGAATTTTTTTTGTCCTAGCAACCACTGTATTCATAACGTTCTCCAAAGTCCAATGCAAGCATCATAAGTATCTTGAATGGAGTATATACAGATATCGTCTGCATATTGGATACATTTGATGTATACTGGCAGAATAGATATTAAATAATGTAGTACCGATCCCTGAGGCAACCCATGATAAACAACTCTTGGACCGTACAATACATTTCTATGGCCTTTGATGTCTATACATCGAAAGAGATATAATTGTAATATATTTAGAGCAGTCATTTCACTCAAACTACTATCAACCATTCTTTGTTTAAGGATATTTAGATTAACAGAGTCATAAGCCCGATTTTATAAAGTTTAACTTTATTTTATAACAAAAAATCATACGACAAAATATGTAGTTGCTTAAAGAAAACTAGAAAAAAAACAATATGTTAATTAATTTGTATTATTCTTAATATAAGCATACCTGTACTGTGGATAATTAATTATTCCCGGACCTTCCATTCTTCCTTCTTTCCAAGTTCCATAATGTGTAACATTGGACGATTTAAATGTATAAGTCCCCAATCCATGACGTAGACCTTGATACCAACAGCCTTCGTAAGTGTCTCCGTTGACATAATAGTAGGTTCCTGTGTTTAAAGATTTATATACAGCTGGTACAAAATGCAATGGCGAGCAGTTTCACGAAATATTTATTACGTAGATAATAGAAGCAGATAGAGATGCAGTGGCGTTGCAATATTAAACAATGTAAGAGGAACTTTGATAAAATGAAAGGCAGATATCGAGCACAACAAACATAAAATTATTTAAAAAATAGTCGAAGTTACATTCTGGTCGGCCACAGGAGAGAGAATGCTGTCTCCTGAAACCCTTCAGAGGGGACTGAAATCAAAATTTTCATGTCATGCATGTAATAAATGTTATTGTTTGTTGTTTTTTTGATGTTTACCTTTATTCTGTATAATTTATAAGCTGTTAAATATAAATACATAAATCCTTATAATTTTTTTGAAAAATCTTTAATAATAGTAAACACATAAAAAGTGTTGTGTTGGGTTATAGGCTTTGATGTTAACACTAGTAGTAAACGTTGCCCTATTGGTGACGAGATGTCGGGTGGTATGACGATTAACGTGTTAAGAACCTAGGGATAATAAACAAGTTACAACGAACGATAACATGCTTCAATAGTAGATATGGCACGACTATTTACGATACATTAAAATAAATAAGTACTGGAGAAACCTAATGGCATCATTTAAGAAGAAAAGATCTAAGTATTGCATATGAAACCAGTGCGATTCAAAAGATTTAAAGAAAACAGAAACGTAATAATTAGCGGAGTTAACAAGATCAGTTAATAAGTATATAAAAGTAATACTTTATAGCATTCTATGACTATTTCAAAGAAAAGAAAAGAACATAGTACAAGACGTTACGGTCATAAACATGATTTCCGTAGGAAGTGATAACAGAATTGTTAGAGCCAAAATCAAAATTAACTCCACAACAGACAGACAAAAATTTAAACCATCTAAAAAAGAGATAGATACAGAACTTCTTAAAGAACGCAAAGAACAATACATAAACCAGCTAAAAAGAAGTGACATATCACAGCTAAAGGGTTTGCAACTAGACGAATTAAACGATAAAATAACAACAGAACTACTAGAAGCAGGCCTGAAGATTGCTAATAAACAAAAGCGAAAACAATAAAAAATTAGAGCTAAATCACAAGATATGCTAAAAAAACGACGACAACTACTGAATGATAACAAAAGAAATACAGTGGAGTTTACCGAACTGAACAAAACCATAAGAAAACAGATAAAGGAAGATTTAAAGAAATACCAAGAAGACCGTATTAAGAAAATCATAGAGAAGAACAAAAGTTTAAAAACAATGAAGACAAATACAGGAAAAAGAAAACTAATCATGCTTAAAGCTGAGAATATTGAAGAAAGAGATCTAGGAGAAATAGTAAAAATCACAGAAAGATATTACACAGACCTATACAGTTCTAAAAATGACCCACCACTATCATCTAAACAGAATCTCTCGAGGAAAATACAAAATGTTGGCTCAGAGGTATTACCAGAAATAACTGAAGATGAAATCGAAAAATTCATAAACGACATGAAAAGAAATAAAGCGGCCGGTGAGGACAAAATACTGGCGGAACAGCTAAAAGAAGAAGGAGACACGATAAAAAAATGCTAAAAATACTGTTCAACAAATGTCCGTTTGAAGGTAAAATACCTAAACAATGGAAAAATGCCAACACAATATTAATACATAAGAAAGGAGACCGAACAGACCTAAACAACTACCGTCCTATTTCCCTTTTGTCACAACTATATAAAACCTTCACAAGAATAATAAACAACCGACTAAGCTATAAACTTGATAACTACCAACCAGTGGAACAGGCCGGATTCAGAAAAGGATACAGCACAATCGACCATCTACATACGCTTAAAATCTTAATTGAGAAAACCAATGAATACAACCTTCCGCTGTACTTAGCATTCGTAGATTATGAAAAGGCTTTCGACAGCATTAAACACTGGGCGGTTGAAGAAGCTCTGGTCAATAGTAGAATAGATTCAAGATACCGACAATTGATACATGATATATACCAAAATGCAACCATGACCGTAATTCTGGACGACAAATTAATAACGGATAATATAAAAGTTAAACGAGGAGTCCGACAAGGCGATGTAATTTCACCTAAACTGTTTACCTTGACCCTCGAAGACATAATAAAATCAACAGATTGGGAAAACAAAGGAATATGTTTTAACGGAAAATATCTAAATCACCTTAGATATGCGGATGATATACTCCTGATCTCCTCGGAACGACAAGAACTGGAATTAATGCTGAATGAACTTCATGAAAGATCACTGCAAAAAGGCCTAAAAATTAACTTCAACAAAACAAAAGTAATGACAAACACGGAAGACCAAGAGGCAATAAAAATAAAAACAGAAAAAATAGAACAGGTAAATGAGTATATCTATCTAGGACAAGCAATCAGAGCTAACAGAAAAAATCAAACAGCCGAAATATCGAGACGAGTAAGAATGGGATGGGCAGCGTTCGGCAAACTTTCTTACGTTTTAAAAAATCAAACAATGCATCTATACTTACGAAGCAAGGTATATAACTCCTGTATCATACCGGTGCTCACCTACGGAGCACAGACATGGACATTTACACAGGCCAATTTGGATAGGATAAGGAAGGCACAAAGAGCGATGGAGAGAAATCTTGGTATCACTTAGATATAGAAAACGTAACCAGTGGATCAGAACCAGAACAAAGACAGTAGACGCGATAGAACAAGCAGCAAAACTGAAATAGAAATGGGCTGGACACAATGAACGTCTCCAAGACGGACGATGGAACAATGCCATCGGAAAGTGGCGTCCATACAATGCAAAGAGATCAAGAGGCAGACCACAGATGAGGTGGAAAGATGACATCAGGAAACAAGGAGGTCCCACATGGCAGAGAACAGCTCAAGATAGGGAAAGATGGAGAGAACTGGGGGAGACCTATATCCAACTATGGAAGGATAGAGAATAGGTTAAAAAAAATGACTATTTATAGCAGACTAGATCTATCCTGACTGTCTAGTCAGGACATATCTAGTATTGTCAATATTATATAAATATATTTCAAAATTCCTCTATATTTTCTGATTATTTTAATTAATAGTCTTCAGATTATTATTTAAACCCACATTTTGAACTTATATATTGCTAATTTGTGTAAACATTTTTAGTTGTAGTGCTTACCATAACCGTGTTTAAAATCTTTCCTCCAATCCCCTATATATTTTGTACCATCAGGATATAAAAATTCTCCTTTTCCATGTTTAAGCCCTTTCTTCCACATTCCACTATATCTAGAGCCATTTTTAAAACAGTACATTCCACGCCCATGCCGTTTTCCGTGATAATATTCTCCTTCATAAATGTCACCATTTGGAAGCAAAGCACTTCCGAACCCATGTCTATCTAATTGATCGTCCCTTCCTCCTTCGTACTCTCCGTAGGGATATATTTCCTTACCTTCTCCTCCTTCTCCGACATTTTCTTCTTCTTCAAGCTCCTCATCTGCCATTTTTTAATATTTAGATTCGTACGTCTATCAAAATCTTCTTGACAAATTGAAACAAAACAATATTTTATATATTACTTGTCATTGTAATATGTCACAAACGAGATAATTTTATAAATAGTGTCTATCAATGTATATGTCACTATAAAGCTATGAGACAACTATAAAGTAATTGGTCAGTAGGGTTCCTGGTTGGTTATTAATCATATAACGAAATTTTAACCGCTTTTACTAGGCGCCAAATTTTAGCTCTGGGCTAATCATTTCTTCTCTCAATACTCATTCAGCTGCAATGAAATACGTATCTCGATCACAATAAATATGCCTTGGTCGTCCTCTTCTGTTAATAAAATTTGTTAAGTTAACACTGTCCACATCTAGTTTGTAAGCTACTTCGAGATGGACTGCTCTAGTCGTGAGACACGTAAGTAAAGCTTCCCATCTTTCTTTGTCCGTCTTCCAACAGTAACGTTTATTGGAGAAAAATAATCCATACCAGTGGGTGTAAACGGTGCAGTAAATGTTGCAAGTCTACATGGCGGTAGAGGTGACATTTCTGGTAGTTTTGGCCATAGATAAATAATATAATATTGGTTTTGGCTTAGCAAATTTGACCTTAATATTTTGACAATTGGTCCTGATCTTATTAACTAGTTAAGTTTTGGTATATAAAATTTTTGTCTTATCTCATTTACTATAATTGCATGATTTCTATGGTGATATCTTTTGTGATAGTCTTCAACAACTAGCAAAGTTAAACGACTTTTTGTCGGTAAAATTATTGGCCTTTTTGTTTCTGAAATAACATCTCCAGCTTCATCTAATCTTCCTCTTATACCATATTTCATCAATTTTGCATAAACAATTCTTAAAAATTGAAACATATGACTTGCTCTTAAAATTCTATTAAATTGACTGAATCTTATAAAATCTATTAAAAGTGGACTATTAAATTTTACTTAATGAGTGGTTAGGATTTCATCAGATTTTTCCTTTTTAAGGATGGTGTCTGGAGGCCAACTGTTTTCTAATTGATACAGAAAATCAGGACCTTTAAACCAACATCTTGTGTTTTTCAAATTGGGACGTTTTGTCCATTTGGTAGCTTTGTCGGCTATGTTATTCTTAGTAGGTACATATCTTCAATGTGATACTATTGAGTTTGGTTAATTTCGGCCACCCTGTAAGCTACATATTTTGGTAATTTTCTTGGGTCTTCATTTCTTAACCACCTTAAAACTGTTGATGAACCTGTTTAATAAACAATGTTGTGCACAGTTATGGAAATATGTTGACAAAGGTTTTTAGCAAACTTTGAACCCATTACCGCACTATTAAGTACCAGTCGAGGAATAGTTTGTGGTTTAATTGGTGCTACATGTGTTTTCGCTCTAATCAAAGTACACTCTGTGACATCTTTTTTTAATATTCTTAGATATGCCACACAAGCACTTGCGTGTTCGCTGGCATCTACAATATGTGCATTTGCCTATTAGTATCCTTCCAGTTTTCGAGTTTAGTAAGAAAGTATCTTGGGATTAAAACCTTCTCTATTTCTGGAAGCTGTTTCAACCAAACAAGCCTTTTTTGAAATTGTTCATTGATTATTGGTTGATCCCAAGAAATGTTACTCCTCCATATTTCCTGTAAAATACTCTTCACATAAATCAAAAAGTTTGCTAACAAACCTAAAGGGTCATATACAGACATTATTATTTGTAAAATTTCTTGCTTTATTGCCCTTTTAATTAATCTTAATCTTAAAATTATCTCCCTTTAAATCCCACCACATTCCTAGAACATTCTCCATGCTCTTATTGTTCCCTAGATCTAGGTTGACTTCCTTGTTATTTCCGTGACTGGTGTTCATGTTTTTCATTAATTTTTCAGAGTTTGGTCTTCAGTTTCTTATTTCAAAATTTCCGCTGGCGTGAATTAAGGTAATTTCTTTTGCTAATTGGATGTCTTCATCCTCAGTGTCTGTTGATTCTAACAGATCATTGGCATAATGATTCTTTACTATGGAATCACCAGCACTAGGATGTTATACGCTAAATTTCTTCGCATTAGTGCTTTTAACAAACTGTGCACAACTGGGTAAACAGGTAGCTCCAATGATCATAACAGTCATGACATAAACTTGCTTCCAAAGGATTATCAGAGCTACCATTGCGCCACAAGAATCCTTGTGCATGCTGATCTTCTTCTATTATATCTACACAAAGAAACATTTCCTTGATGTCTCCAGAAAAGCCAGTCTTTCTTTTACCAAATCAAAGTAGGAGAACGCTTAATAGAGAAGCAAGTTGGTCATCTCCTTTTAATAACAGAATTTAAGGATATTCCCTGTACGGTTGCTGCTGCGTCCAAAACTAATCTACATTTGTCAGGTTTGTTAGGCTTAAAGGCCGGAAATATACGAAGATACCATTTTTTTTTTCTTGATGCTCTAAGAGTTCTTGTTTTGACAGTTTTCTAATATATTTCTTTTCTAGAAAATCTTAAATTTGTTGATTAATTTTGATACCTAGTTCTAGATTTTTCTTAATTTTCCTCTCTATGCACTCCAGTCTTTGAATAACCATGGGTTTATTATTAGAGAGTTTTAAGTTGTTGTATTTCCAAAGTAATCCAATTTTATATTGGTTACCAATTTAAACTAGGGTACTTTCTTGTATACGAATAGCCCTATCTAATTCTTTGGAAATAGACGGTTTAATATTTTGAACTCCAAGGCTTTCAACTAAACAGAAATCTTTTACAGTATTAAAAAGTTCTTGCTCAGTAGTGTAGTGTAGTTTAATTCCACATCGTTATTTAAAAACATTGCAAAAATAGTCCAACCTATCCTGAACTTCACTCGAAGTGGTAACGCCAAGTCCCAGTTATCTAAGCCTATTAAGATTTGAGGAACAGCGTTCTTATATGATTTGAAAGGTAAGTTTTAAGATAGGGAAAGCTTTCTTTAATTGCCTTTGTATCGAGAGTTTGTTTTGGAAGGCCTTATTTTTTTACTATTCTGGCTGGTCGGTGGTCAAATTCTTTGGCCCCATTATAATCACTAGCAATAGAAAAGAATACGTTTCTAACGCATCTTCTAAGCGTTGTTGGTTTCCAGTCTATTTTAAGAAAAGTTGTTCTGCGTTTCCCATTATGTTTAGCTTTTTAGCAATACTTTCTTCTAACAAAGTAACGGAAGACCCTTCATCTAGAAAGGCAAATGTAGTGACCTCCCTACTTCCATTTCTTAAAATAACGTGAAGTGTTCGAAAGCGTATTCCTTGATGTGCATTACTTCCTTCATCTGCAGACAAGTGGTGTGATTCTACTGTTTGCATACAGGTTTCCTTTTTGATAAGCTTTGAGCTTTTAGGAAGAATTCGCATATTCAGACTCGGATATTCAATCAACGATTACACTTTATATTCAGTAAGTTCTCGTAATTCGACAATTATATCAACAGTGATTGGTCATCCAGTCATATTTATGTTTTATTTAGAGTACAAGAATTATATTATTCCAGGCTTATTAACAATTTCGTCACATATTTCTTGTAGAGACTGTAATAGGTCCCTAAAATTTGGTGTCGCTAGTTATGTATATACAATTATTAGAGGTATAAAATAATTATTAATAATGTTTTGTTTTTTTAAGATATTTCATTTGTTTTAGTAAATCATGTCTAGAAAAAAGAGCATCTAGGAAAATTAGAAAAAAAACATTTTTGATATTATAGAAGGCCTTAAAATTTATTGTTGCGATGAAGATAAGGCTAAGAGAAATTGAAGATCTTTTACTTGATAACATGGAAGATATATTTGAACAACCAGATGAGTTCGTTGATGTTATCCAGGAAATAATTATTGATGAGAAACATCCGATTCCAAATTGTGATTACGAAGATACTCGAAATGTGCCTATATCCCAAACAAAAGTAATCATATGATAATGAAATTTATCCAGTAGACTACTTCATAAAATATTTTGAAGTAAAACATCTTTTTTTATGACTATTTATAAACAATGGATATAAATAAATTAGTACGATTTAATTTAAGGATAAAAAGCAATTGCTGTCGACAATTAAGAAGGTACCTAAAAAGCGAACTAACGAGCAATCAATTCACAGGAAACCCTGCTTCGAATATTAAACCCTACAAAGCTCTTCTGATATAGGTAAAGTTTATACACTCTTCAGGGATTTTGTTTTTATTAAACGCTAGAATAAAAAGTCAATATAACCGGGAATATGAACGAATGTTCATGTTTTCCACAATTTTCTGTAAACGCATAAGAAAACGGTTATCTCCGAAATCTTTTTCCGCTCAGAGTTCATATGTGTGTCGTTTTGTACATTACCCGCGGCGATATTCTCAATTTCATCTTATTTGACGTATTTTTGAGGTTTAGGGTCTTAATATTCTCGACCCTAACGCAGGTTATGAAAAAAATAAATGGAAAAGTTGAACGCGAAATGAGCCATAAAAGTATTTAAGATGGAAGATGAATGTATTTATATAATACTATTTTTATAGTAAGTAAATTACTTAGTAACTATTTGATTATTGTAATTGATATCAATATTTACAGAAATATCTAAATTTTTGATCAATGGGAATTTGAAAATTGTTTAAACGTAGATTTCACATTATTTTTCAAATCATCATTATTATTATCTTTGCCTCTATTCCAATCTTAATTGGCTTCTCTAATACTTATTTACTTTCCGTGTCCGGAACACCCACAGCTTTAAATTTTGTGTTTCCAATGGTTGGCCACATAGATGGCCCTGTCATTCGCTAAACATAGGTCTTCTTCTGTACACGTCTCTCTTATCTTTGTGCATGATAGTAGATGGTGATTATTCAAAACCGCGCCACGGTGGCAGGTATCGTTCTCCTGGTATCCCCATTTCTTCAGGTTACTACCACAATGTGAAATGCCAGTTCTTAGTCTCTTTAGCGCTTTCCATGTGGGATACGGCAAATTGCCGTAGGTGTATTCGGTGCGTCTTTGGCTTTTCGGGAAGGGATCGT